ATCTTAACAAAAGTTGGTAAGCAAACTTTTTATCACACATTCACGTCAACATTAGCAGCAGCACTTTGTTTGGGGGATTACGCGATTCCATTGCATGATCGATGGAGTTGTCACTACTTCAAGCGCCAGTGTTGCACGTTCTTATAAAAAGCAGGCTTCTTAGTATCCTATCAGTGTTAATAAATTAGTTTGCCGTGAACAGAGATTAAGTCAACTAAAGAGACCATTTGCATTACCTCGCTGTCGAGGATTTTAATTTTTGTCAGAAGGAACTTAGAGATTCAGTTTCACTGTCTTTACTAATTGTGCGTGGAATGTATTTATTCATTTCAGCTGCTAATGATCAAACAACCCTTTTTGCAGGCAGTGACCCTTAAAATGCCTTCATTTAGACATAAATATGGAAGTTCAAATAAAGTATTACTCATTTTAGTAATGAAATGAGTCACAGTCAGAATGGACACTGCAGGCCCACAAATACCGTTAGTTAATTTCTATTCGAATGTCCTCTCTCCAGGAGTCATAAAAAACAAAGATCTGTGTCAACCACAGCAAAAGCCCTTGAAAGATGAGTCGAACTCCTCGAATTCGGGTGATACACAAGGCCATGTGGCGACTGTTTTTAATCTATTCTTCTCAGTTGCACCATTGAGATGCCAAAAATTCAAGTGTCATAAAATTTTTTGACTTTCGTGCAGTGAAGGAAACATCTGCTGTAAAGAAGGCCTTCAAAGATGACCGTGATTAGTGGTGCACATTTTTCTACGGGATCTTCCTTTAGAGTGCGTGTGCAATAAACCAAATGTCTTCTACATTTCAACGTGGATGCTTCACACGCACGTATTCATGTTAATAGACGCACCCGCTTCTCATGTAATCAACACGCCAAGAGATTGTGTGCCAGTAAATACAAGACCTTGACATTGCCAAACTTTACTTTGCCACCGTCCATATTAGCACAATCAACCACAGCCTTCACGATACCGAATAAGTTCGTATGTCTGCAATCAATAGAAAACCTACTTTAAAAGGAATTTTTCCATTCGCTGCACTTGCTTTTACATCCAAGGATTTTGTCTTTGACATTGGGGAGCTGGGTGCATAAGACCAGGCTATGTGAGGATATTTCGTGCCTTTTCTTCGTCTAAAAGCCATGGTTGGAAATTCCTATGTGTTTTACTCGTGAGTAATGAGATATCCACTTACAAACATAGTTAAAACAGAAGACAAGAATAAAGCGTGCTTCGACATTTATAAATGTTTCTTCTTTTAAGAATTGCAGTTTGCTTCAGTGAAATTAAATAGATATATACACTTGTTTATGCACAGGAGAGTGCAGACCTTATTTATGTGGATGCACACGGTATCTACTTTATAAGTTTATTTTATCTAGCCATATTTCTTTCTCCAAGGAACCAAAAATGGAGGCAGAATAGAATTAGCGACGATCCTAGTGTTTTATAATTACACTCTTGTCTCCATACCTATTTATACATTTACACCTACTCACTCACTTTATCTCTCCTGTGTTAATTATGTTCACTTCTGTCCCATCCGTCAGGTAAGCTTAAATATCACAAACAAAATTGCGAAGACTTCAAAACTGGACTGCTTAAAATATGTAAGGGGTTGCCTACCCACGCAACGCCATATTTTACATCACCAGTATTCCAAATAACCCACCTCAAGACGATGACTAATGGCGTCAATTGTGTTGAAGGTAAGCTGAATAACTAAAGCAAATGTCTAGATTTTTCTACAATTTTGACTTTTAATCGACATTATGCAAGTTCTCAAGAAGTGCTCCGGCAACACAGACTGTAATGCAGTAGTGTTTTCAAGGTCAATAAAACAAGGCCAAGTCAGCGGCAATTATTGTCTTTTAAAACAAGCAATTATGGATACGTGAACAAAATCCGCATTAAAAAGGAAATACCTTCCTTAAAAACCAGCCCTACTTCTCATGTGCGAGTGTATCAAATGCGGCAGACATGAGACGTAACCATAAACACCTGAGATAGTGGGAGAATGAATGAAGGCAATTGGTGAAAATGATGGAATATCTTGAACCGCCTTCAGTAGATTGCGTCTGTTATAAGTGAGTTAACTCCAAGTATAGAAGGTCCTGCTTTTATCTGTTTCTCCTTGGCTTTCATTTTCATGAAATGACTGGGCGGACTAGTTGAGCGCAGAGCCATGCATTGAGAAGGAGGTAGTTTGTTGGTGAGATGAATTACATTAACTGAAATGCATTTTGCCTTATGGATGATGAGACTTGTAGTGTACTTCAAGTGACGCAATCGGCCTGTGTATTTGCACGACTTCTGCATCTCTGTAGTCACCAATTTGATTGTGCCTCTCTTGCCAGGCTTAAATTACGGTCTTCAGGTTGTGTATGCACAAAGAAGGCTAGAGTAGTCAAAATAGCGCTCAACTCATCCTTTTCATATGTCTTCATTGCGGGTGTTTGGATGTCGGGCAGTCTTGAAAATCCTAAAGGCCTTCAAAAGAATCGTTCCCTTATTGACAAATATTTTGATTGGATAGAACTGAAGCCACCAATTTAGCCTTTATGCCTTCATAAGGTGATCTCAAGCAACCCGTATCTTTTGCCTCGTTTACACCTTTGAGTATTATTGGTTTCCTCTCTGGGTGGGTAGCAGGAGACCCTTGATGCCAATACCTACACTTTCCTCAGAAATGCCTGTTAACATGGACTATAGACAGTGCTCCGACTGCTGTGAGATGGGACTTTTTAAAGCTGCTGCAATTAATGCAGGTTTGGTAAAACCCACTTACGTCAATGATGACCTAAGGCCACCAGTAACTAATACTTCGAGACATCTAATATCATCTTTTTTCCCACGCGGTTCAATTGTTCGTAAAACTCTAGAAGATTTGTTTGGCTCAGTAAGGCTAGGAGCACTGAGCACTTAGGTAGCTCTACACCTTCATGTTACAAAATCTATTTTTCTGGAGCTAGTTCAGAATGTGCCTGTCATACCCATTGGACAAATATGCTCTACTAGGCCACTCCTCTCATTTTTAAAGCCAAGAGAGTGTAAGGAATCACTTTTGCTGCAGAGCCGCGTCAATATCCTATTTCAGAGTTCTACGCATTTCCCGCTCAAAAATATGGCATTAGATGCACTGCAGCATCATCTGGTTGTAGAAGGTTTGCATTGCTGTATGTAAATCCATCGCTATAGTGTACCGTGTAAACCTGATGCTGCAGTTTCTCATATGGGCCGTATCCGACAGTCTACTTCACTGTTATAACAAGGTCAGCCAATGCGCAATGATCCGATCCCCCTATGGTCTCTTTTGTCTACTAGTTCTTAGTCCATGGCAAGCGTTTTGTCTTAAAAGCAAACGGAAATAGAGCACTGTCTACTTACTTGCCTGCCTCACTTTTGTCTCTGAACTTTTCATTATATTTTGCACAAATTTATTGTAAGATTAGAGCCAAGATGTTAAGGATTCTTTAGTAACGCAAAATCATTGCATCTTCCGGAGAGGACAAAAGTGACATGGCGACCTAATTTTGTTCAAAGTAGCATTCGCAACTGCATAAATAATGAGATAATAATGGGACATTAGTCGGTTTATTGAGGAGTGAAGTAGGCAGGTGATAAGACAACCCAATCATTCTGCATTTGACAATGCTCTTGTTGTGCATTTCTCTTAAGTAACAACGTGTCCCTCTGTGCCACAACGGAGGATCTCAATAACGATTTCCGTTGAGCAGTGTGAGATGTCATCAAAGCTGAAGAAACATAGCTGTTTGCAGGTTTCGTCCACGAAACTCAAATCGTACATCATCTCTACCTTTTGGAGTTTTGATCGCAAACAGGACCACGGATGAATGCGTCCCTCTGGATGGACGAGAATGTGTGCATCTAAGAGTTGGTGATGCTTGAATTTTGGCCATATGTTTGACAAATTTGCCTACCATGGTATCTGCTTTGCACGTGGTGAGGAATGATCAAGCTGACGATTATAAGGAGGAAATCTGGTGGCATTGTGTCTAAGTGAATATTTTGCAAGTCACCTTTTAATGTCCTCAAAATCTGAACCACGTCCTCGCAAAGGAGTCGTTTGTACAACACAAAGAGGGGCCTATTTTGGTGGCGCCTTTGCTGAAAGGGAGGAAGTATATAAAACAGCTGTGGCTTCTCTGCTGCTGCTCCTGTCGCTTGTAAAACCATGAACTGTGATTTTCTCTACAATCTTAAAAAAAGCCTTGTAAGGGACGAAATTCTTGCCCTTTTAATGCACTTTGCGATTCCTCACTCTGACAACGGCGTCGCTTTTATAGCTTGTAGATATACAAGCCGGTAATGCGGCAATGATTTGGCAGCTAGTACTGATGGTACCGGTGTCCCACATTCGGCAATTATTGACAATTCTATAAATTGAAGTCAATCGGGATTGTTTCAAATTTGCACTTTGGGGTCAAAATGATGCACCTGAAATTTTGCAGAATCAGAATTAAACTGTCTGTCTAGGCATGTAAAGTGGCCCTATTCAAGTGGATGTTCTCGGTATTTGCCTGCATTACTGATTTGTGTTGGAGAAAATTTAGTATTATTTTGCCTCTTGGAATGCAGCACTCATTTTTTCAACATAGAAATTAATTATGACAGCCTACTTGTTGCAGTAACACTGACTTTTGTTCAAACGTGGCGCTAAGGTTACGAGGACGCCAAATGCTGACTACTTCGATTAACAGGCATTCCTTGAGCAGATTTGCATCATATTTAATGCGCAGATCTGCGTTTAATGGCTGTGACCTTTTTTGAGGCTATATGTTACGCGTCACATATTTTCTCAACAGTTAAAGCAGAGAATTTGCTTTTTGATTTTGCGACTGTTTCTTGCATGCTTTTTAGTCACCATAGTGTTAGTTTATGTGTGACTTGCCACTTTTGGTTAATATTTTTCTTAATATGTACTTGTTAGTTACTTGCTGGGCCCGAGTTACCAATGAATATGCCCTGGATACGTAGATGCCTGCGCGCACAGTACAACGCTTTGCGTATAAATGGGGCACTTCCGCCTATTGATATTTCATCAATCTGTAGCCGATGGTAAAGCTTCTACTCTTGCGCATTTAATGGTTTGGGCATGCGACACTACTTTTATTGATGGTATGGTCTCTTTTTAGTAGCTGGTTGCCTAACTGATAGGGCTTGGTAATTTTCATCACCATGGTATCCGTTTTACTACAAATTACCACTATTTTTATAACTGAGGATGAAAAGGAGTAAGGTCGTCAGCATTAACTACAGCTAAGCTGGAGTGCAGTTCAGTGGAAAGTGAGTGCGTGTGTGCGCGAACTGATTAAATGATTGCACGTCAAAACCGGTTTTGGCGGCATTAATAGTGTTGTACATATTTTGTGGGATTCACAACATTGATGCTTATCCGACAGTTGGGATGGATTATGATACCAAGTGTTATAAATCATAATCACGTTGGACAATACCATAGCATATCTCATATTTCTTTGGTAATTAAAATGGCATACTGATTGTTTTTATGGCAATTTCATCGCATCCTCTTCAAAGCCTGATCAGTACTCCAGTTCGCATTGAGTGCTGGTGTTCCAATGATCGACAACAGATGCAGGTGAAAACCTCTTATTTTCCTTTTATTTAAATTGAAGTAGGAGATGAGCAAACGTTGGAATACATTGGTCTGTACACCAGGACGGTGACGAGATTATAGGGTTATCTCAACACTTGGTCGATGTTGAGCGCATTAGAGTCCTCGTGATGGGCCTCATCGAAAATGGTCGCTGAGGTGGACGCCGATGGAGCTGTAGGGCTTATTGCGAAGCAGAGAAAATGGAAGTCATGGTTGCGACAGACGGAGAGAGTTGGAAGTGCTATTTCGCAGAGGCACTCCACATCATAACCTTCACCAAGGGGTCGAGAATTAATGCAGCTGTGGTGATTTCAACAGGCTGAATTAGGGCAGCAGATCTCCACCGTCTTGAGGTAAGTCCATCTTCCGAATCATCCCAGCATTATCAAGTGATTACATGGAGTTGGATGTTGAGATGAAATGTTTTCTCGCGTTAACGGGAAGTCAACGTGGGGCCAACAGCTTCTTTTGTAATTTGGATGAGTTTCGAGAT